TCAAGTGAAGGGTTGTGGAGAGACAATCTTTGATCTGACGGTTATTGAAAAGATCATGAGATCGTTGCCGCAAAAATTCGATTTTATCGTTGTAGCGATTGAAGAATCGAAAGACTTATCACAAATGAAGATTGAGGAACTTCAGAGTTCCTTGGAGGCACATGAGATGCGATTGGTGGACAGGAATGGTGGAAGAAACAGAGAGCAGGCCTTGAAAGTACACCATTTCAAGAATGGTGATAGAAACAAGAAGAAGTGGAAAGGAAAACAAGCAAAGAGAGAGTGGAAGTCAGATAAAGTTGTTCATGACCAGAGTGATAAGTCAGACACAACTGAGAAGAATGGAAAGACAGAGAAGTATCAAAAGAAAAAAAATAAACGGAGTATCGAATGCTTCAAATGTCACAAGATGGGTCATTATGCCTCTGAATGCAAAGCAGACAAGAAAAAGAAGAAATATCAAGAAAAGGAAGCACATGTGGCAGAAGAAGATTCTGATTCTTCTAATTCTTCAGAACCATTAACCCTGATGGTGACCACTACAACAGGAAGTTCAAACTTGCAAACTGAGTCTTGGTACCTGGATTCGGGATGTTCGAATCATATGACCTGTCATAGGGAATGACTTATCAATTTCGATACAGAGAAGAGAAGCAAGGTGAAATTTGATGACGACAGTACGTTGAAAGTTGAAGGAGCTGGAGATGTAGTCATCTTAAGAAAGGATGGCTCGAGGGCCGAGATTGCAAACGTTTTGTTTGTTCCTGGGATGAAGTGTAACCTTCTCAGCATAGGCCAATTGGTACAGAAAGGATTCATTGCAATAATGGGAAAGTATGATAAGATCGAATTATTTGATGAAAATAACAAACTAATTTTGAGGAGTAAAATCTCAAAGAATAGGACGTTCCAGATTGATATAAATGCAGTTGATGTACAATGCTTGTCTGCAGTTGAGAAGGAAGATAAGAGTTGGCTATGGCATCTAAGGTAGGATCATTTAAACTTTAGAAGCTTACAGCAACTCAGCGAGAAGAAAATGGTCTCTGGATTGTCCGAGATAAAACTGCCAAAAACTGTATGTGAGGTTTGTCTAGCTGGAAAGCAAACCAGGAGACCATTCAAAGCACAGTCAAAGATGAGAGCCAAAGACTGCCTGGAAGTAGTTTACTCTGATATATTTGAAATACCTTCAGTGGCTGGAAATAAGTATTTCATTACTTTTGTAGATGAGTATAGTAGAATGATTTGGTTGTATGTGATAAAGTTGAAGAGTGAATCTTTTGAAGTCTTCTTGAGATTCAAAGGCAATGTTGAAAGGGAAAGTGGAAAGTTACTAAAGACTCTTAGAACAGTTGGGGGAGGAGAGTTCACCTCTAACACCTTTGAAAGCTACTGCAAAACGAATGGCATTATGCATGAGATAACAGCACCGTACACACCTCAACATAATGCACTTGCAGAGAGAAGAAACAGGACGATTTTGAACATGGCAAGAAGTTTGCTAAAAGAGAAAGGACTACCACATAAGTTGTGGGGTGAAGCAGTTTCAACAGCTGCATACATCCTTAATAGGTGTCCCACAAAGAGGTTAGAAGGAGAAGTTCCTTTGAAGGTTTGGTCTGGTGTAAATCCAGCAGTCGGCCATTTCAAAGTCTTTGGGTCTTTGGCATTTAAACACATACCCGATCAAAGGAGAACCAAGTTGTAGGATAAAAGCACTGCAATGGTGTTCGTGGGATATCATCCTATTGGAGCATATAAGCTCTTTGATCCAATTCAAGAGAAGGTAGTTCTAAGCAGAGACGTACTAGTACTGGAGGATCAAAGTTGGGACTGGAAGAACAAGCAGACTAGCTTAAGGCATCAGTCACTTGATAACGCAGTACTGACAGAAAATGATGAGTCAGAAGCTGAAACTGCATCAAGAAATGACACACAGGAAGTTGTGACTCAGAGATCACAAAGGGAGAGAGCAATGCCATGAAGATTCTCTGACTTTGAAATGCATTCAGATGTGCAGGTGAATGATGATGGAGATCTGGTGCACATAGCATTGATGGCAGGGGCAGAACCAATTGACGAAAAGGAGGCAATGACACAACCAGTGTGGAGAAATGCAATGCATGAGGAGCTCAACTCCATAGAAAAAAATAAAACCTGGAAGCTTGTTGACCTTCTAGCAGAGAAGCATTGCATAGGAGTGAAATGAGTGTTTAAGAGGAAGCTAAATCCTGATGGGTCAGTCTCCAAGCACAAGGCAAGGCTTGTTGCAAAGGGCTTCCTTCAGAAACAAGGAGTGGATTTCTCAGAGGTATTCGCCTCAGTAGCTCAAATAAAAACTGTAAGGGTGGTTATTGCAGTGGCTTGTAAGAAGAACTGGCCATTATTCCAGCTTGATGTAAAGTCCACATTCTTACATGGACCTTTGGAAGAAGAGGTTTATGTTCAACAACCTCCAGGATTTGTGATCAAGGGGAAAGAGACGCAGGTCTACAGGTTGCAGAAGGCTTTATACGGGTTAAGACAAGCTCCCACAGCTTGGAACAAGAAGATTAACTCATGCCTACTTGAAGTGGGGTTCACCAAGTGCATTGTTGAACATGGAGTGTATGTAAGGGAAGATGAGAAGGGAAATTTGATGATCATATGTCTCTATGTTGATGACCTACTCGTGACTGGGTCAAACATAAAGGATATTGAAGACTTTAAAAGAACAATGGAAACAAAATTTGAAACGACAAATCTTGGAAAGTTGAGCTACTTTCTAGGAATGGAGTTCACCTACACTACTGCGGGAATAATAATGCATCAAAGAAAATACACTGGAGAGATACTGAAAAGATTCAATATGAGCTCATGCAATTCAACAATGAGTCCTATTGAGATTAATGCGAAGCTGACCAAAGATGAGTCAAGAGATGCAGTAGATGATACAAAGTGTAAGCAAATTATTGGCTCCTTGCGATACTTATGTAGTAGCATACCAGATTTGGCTCACAGTGTAGAAATGGTGAGTAGGTTCATGAGCAGTCCGAAAAGGTCACCCATGCTAGCTGCCAAGAGATTGTTGAGATACATTCAAGGCACAACAAACTATGGAATCTATTTCCTTTTGGAAAACAGAAACCAAAACTGAAGCTATCTGATTATGCAGACTCAGACTACGGTGGTGATTTGGTAGAGAGGAAGAGCACTTCTGGCTACATATTTTTGCTGAACAATGCTCTTGTTTCATGGTGCTCTAAAAAGCACTTAGTGGTAGCTCTGTCCAGTTGTGAGGCTGAGTATAAAGCTGGAAGTTATGCTGCGTGCCAAGGGGTTTGGCTTGATGAATTATTGAAGGAGTTGAAGGTTTCTACAAAGACACCTTTGGAGCTAAAAATTGACAATGTTTCTACTATAAATTTATCCAAAAATCCTGTGAGCCACGGTAGAAGCAAGCATATAGAAGTGAAATATCATTTCCTAAGGAATATGGTGAATAAGGGAAAGATTATCGAGAGGTTTGAAGAACTAAAGAAGAAAATTGGAGTTGTATCTGCTAGATACTTGACTTAAGGGAGAGTATTAGATTGTAATATTTGTATAAGTCAACTATTTCTGTTATTCTTCTGTTTTAGTTCCGTTATAACAATTCTCATTATAGCTGTTAGTATTCTGTATAAAGACTTTTTACACGTTAATATAAAGTGCAATTCCACAATCATTTTATCTCATTTATCTTGTGCTTGTTCTAACAATTTCTACCTTGGTTATGACAAGAAAGAGTATCCAATATTAAATGGAGACCACTATTTTTTCCCACAGAGTATTTTCCATTGAGACAACACGAAGGGCTACACAGCAGAATTTTATAGAATCCTGTTTCTTGAGCCACTGATCTCCGGTGAGTGCTCAATGCTCCAACACACTCAGCCTACCCTCCCCATTCCATACTCTCACAAAAGGATGAAAATCGATATAAGTTGGTCAGTGCAAAGTGTCAATTGCCCATTAGAGTCTCATAAATTTCAAGCTCCAACACATGTCTCATCTTTCAAATTTTAAATGACAAACACCCACTAACACAAGACCGTTTTTTTTAGACCCTAAAGAGGATTCATAGCAAGCATGAAGAAAATCGGCAAACTGAAAACCCCACCAGGAAAGAGCGTTAATTTGTTGAAAACATTATTGATAAAGAAAAGAAAAGAGTGAGAGAGAACCTGAGGGAAGGTGGAACTCTAGTCCATTAAACACCGTCCAAGTGGATGAGAGAGCGAGAGAGTGACCGAGTTTCGAAGTGGACGGGGAAACAGAGTGAAACACTACAACATGTGTAGTATCTAATCCAATCTAATTCGAGAATAAAAAAGATTTGGATTTGTTTCGGAGATTGACTTCGTTCAGTGTTGCCACCCAAAAATCTGAACCACCGAACCAAGGATTTGATGGTCTTTCTATTAAAATATTTAATAATCATTTTAAATAAAAGAGAAAAAACCTATATACATATTTGTGAAAAAGAAAGAAATATTAATAGTTTTTTTTTTTAGTTTTTGAAATTAAAAAAGTTTAAAGTCCTGAATTTTAAAAACAATAAATAAATAAGTTCTAAATTTTTATTAGAGTTAACAAAGTTAGTCAAATTTATTTATCTTTTTGAAGTGAAATTTATTTCCAATGATTTTATTTTTTTTATGATTAGTCTTTTTGTTGCTAACTTTGTATCGAAAGGTTACTCTCTTAATCGATTACTTGCGTTAAGACTCAAACATTGTGAAATAATAAAATGTAAATCATTATATAGTTTATTTTTTAAAATTATAAAGGGTAATTGAATATTAATTTACTACAGAAGCATGTTTCAAATAAAGTCAAGTAATTAATTAGTAAATTAAAAAAATTATTTATACATTAATAAAACGAGGGAAAAAAACTCACTCCAGAGTTCATAATCCCACACCGAAACACTATCTCTGCCAACTCTCCTCTCTCTCTCTCTCTGCGCTCGGCCCATGACGACGTCGTCTGGTTCCGTCAACAACGCCATGCCCTCAGGCCTCCAAGAAGTGCTTCTCAACCGAAAGCGCACGGAAGAAGAAGAAGAACCCAACAACAATGCCCAATCCTCACAACCTTCTTCACCCGCCGGTGACGCCGTCGCCGGTGACAGCTCCACCTCCAAACCCGTCGTGTTGGTCACCAACAGCGACGGCATCGAGTCCCCGGGTCTAACATTCCTCGTCCAAGCTCTCGTGCGCCTCGGCCTCTACGCTGTCCATGTCTGCGTTCCCCAATCGTGGGTCCCACTATTCGTTCTCTCCAATTGTTTCATCGCATGCTTCCTTCCTTGCTTTGGCTTCGTTTGATTTCTCGCCCTTTGTAATTTGTTAGTTCCTGAAAATGGTTGCTTCAGGGACAAATCTGTTTCGGGGCACTCTCTCACTGTCGGAGAAACCGTGGAAGCCTCTCCTGCCCAGATTGACGGTGCCACCTCTTTTGAAGTTTCAGGTTTGGATTCAGTTGTTGAACTTGGTTTTACTGATTAGGACGATAAGATTCTTAACTGTTTGGAATCTTTTTTTTAGGAGTTTAGCTTAGTGGTTTGCTTACTGTTCAGTTTCACCACTGTTTCTCTTTATTTTGTTAGATCCGATGTGTGTGAAGTTCTTGTAGAATTGTTTTGTAGATGATGTGGATTTAGTGGTTTGGTTCTAGTTGTGTGTATGGGAAAAGGTGTTCTTCAGTGAGTTCATGTTAACTTCGTTCACAGATGATGTCGGTTTGCCGGTATGTTTCTTGTAAAAAAAGTCTCCTCATCATAATCTTCCGAGGAATTTTGGGACAGTAGCTACTGACATTTAGGTTGTGATCTTTAACTGAACTGAATGACATCGTGTGATTTATGTAGAAGATCTCACTTATTGTGATGAAGATTTGTGTCAATGATACTTGCATAAATTTCTTAATCTTTTCTAATGTATAATTCAGGAACTCCGGCTGATTGTATTTCACTAGCGTTATCTGGGGCCTTGTTTTCATGGTCAAAGCCAATGCTGGTTAGCATTTATGCCATACAATTAATAACTATTTGTGCGCTTCTTCTCGGTAGTAAAATACTAATGATTTACGAATGAAATGATATCAATTTTAGGTTATCAGCGGAATTAACCGGGGATCAAGCTGTGGTCATCTCATGTAAGTTTTTCCGTTATGCATAGAGTTAAACTTATAAATCTTACTATTGGACAATCCCACTTCCCCCTGATATTAGTCTGTCGTGGTTTTCTATTATATGTCCATGCACCCTGAGTATGAACAAAAGTTCATTTCATGCTTTAAAATTCACCAGGTTCTACTCAGGTGTTGTCGCTGGGGCAAGAGAAGCATTGTTATGTGGTGTACCTTCTTTGTCAATATCATTAAATTGGTATGTTGATTGTTGTTTATGATTTCCAGCTTAACTGTATTTTCCTTCCGTGGATTATGAATTAGTACCACATCCTGCTGCTGTGCTGCAGGAAGAAGGATGAAAGTCAAGAGACTGATTTCATGGATGCAGTAGAACTCTGTTTACCTTTAATAAATGCAGCTATCAGGGACGTTGTACAGGGAACTTTCCCCAAAAGCTGCTTTCTGAATATAGAAATTCCTACATCGCCTTTGAGCAGCAAGGTACACAAATTCTATTATAGTTTGGATAATACTATCTAGCCCTTCACTGCAATATGAGAATGTTCTAGGTTTGGGCTATATACTGTAGAAAATCTAATTCGGATGAGATTCTTGGCTTATGATCAAATATTTTTCTTGTCAATTACCATGTTGCGTTCAGATCATTAGATATAAATGCTTTGCATTTAGATTCTGCTTTCAAAGATTTACTTCCAGTTGCTTATTTTATGAGAATATGCCTTTTCTTATACCGAAAGATGACATACTCACAACATACTAATGAGGAAGTCTTAGAGAGTAGCTAAACCTGAAGAGACTTTGATTTAACTAACATTTTTGCTTCTTAGCTGGGGCTGAAATGTTTGCAGCTTTTAGTGACTCATTACATGCGATTCTTACTCTATTTTTCTTCCCAGGAAATCTTGAGTTGACCAAAAAAATGGTGGTAGGATGGAAATGTTTATTTGCACATTTTAAAAGTTGAATTGCATAGGTGACAATACTCAGAAGCATAGTTATCAACATCTTATGATCCGATATATTTTTGCTATCTACTGATTCATATCTCAATATGAATCTTAAATGACGTTGTATTTTACAATACATGAATGAATCTATGTAATTTTTATCACCAATACTACTCAACAATTCATGTTTTTCACTTTTTCACCAATTCTTATGAAAATAAATTAGAAAAGTCATGTGAGATTAAATTTTTAAATGAAAAGGAATTTGAAATAACATTTGTGAACCTATCCTATTTGATTATTTCACCTTTATTGGTCACTCACTCATTCAATGCAAATACTTTATTTAGCTATGTAATTGTTTTGTTTCCATTCTTCTAAAATAAAGACTTCACAAACTTGGATATATTGTTTTTTTATGACTTTTGCTGAAGTTGTTTTTTCTATTTCTATTCCATACAAAATTTCAATTCACAGTTCAAAAAATCACTCAATGATTCATGAATCAAATCTTGATTCGGTAATTGCTCAGAAGCAGTAACTGCATACATATTATGACCCTTTTTCTGGGAAATTTCTTCTTAAAGATGATTTGAAACTTGATCATTAACATTGTGATTAACATGTATTTCCTTCCCTGTCCCCTTTCTTAATTAGGAAATATGTTTTAGTTTCACCAGTCTTATATTTTGTTTCATTGTGTTTACTGTTTAGTGAACTATTTTTGGTCCGTAGATATAATATGGGTTGCTGTCGTATTGTTTTGTTAACAGGGCTTCAAGTTGACCAAGCAGAGTATGTGGAGATCCACTCCAAACTGGCAGGCAGTTTCAACTAGCCGCTATCCTCCTGGTCATTTCTTGGCCAGTAAACAAGGCTTTGGTCTTCAGTTTGCACAGATTGGCCGTGATGCCTCTGCTGCTGTGAGTGTCCTAAACAATTCCATCTTTTGCACATTCTGTTTCTGTGTATCTGGTCATTTTTGTGCAGTTATTGATGCTGATCGTAGAATCGTTCACATCTTGGTGTACTACAGGGTGCAGCACGGAGACTAACAACTCAGAAAAAGAATTTGGAGATTGTTGAATCAATTGGAGCTGCAGGAAAACCTGATTCCAACAGGGTGAAAAAGTACTTCAGACTAGAGGTAAATGAGAGGGAGATATGACAATATGTCTCAACCGTCCCATACCAAGTGTAGGGAAGGTTAACTGGTTTTGGAAATGGATTTAGAAATACGAAGGCCAAGAACCACCTCATTTCCAACTTGCCTAAAAATGAAAATCAAAGGGATGGGTTGGTACAAGGATGGGAATGTAGTGGGAGAGTAGCGTATTTATATCCTTCAACTCTTATAATATTCATGCGCATATCCATATCCAATTAGTGCCTATATACATAAATGGTATTGCCATTTTCGTGTTTTCTTTTTGACAATCTAGTAAAATCAGAATGTGAATCATGTAATAGGATCTGAAATGCACTATAGAAAATTGGGAATTATACAGAAAATGTACAGAACAGAGCTGGTCACAGTGGCAAAAATGCAGGAAATGTAGTAAAAGAAAATGTTGGTGTTATCTAGTTATAATTCTCAACCATGTGGCACATCCACCCCAAAACTATTCAATTGATTACCTACCTTAGTTCCTCCATCTTTCTTGGTATCTCCGAGTAGCATCTGTAGTTACCTCAATGCTTTCCACACTTGCCACATATGCAAGCTTTTTACAACCTTTGAAAATCCTTCTTTTGCCCTTCCTTACCCATATAGTGTCAGACAAAAATGCTATTTATTTCTAAAACTAACTATGATAAAACAATAAAACAAGAGCATTAATTAAAAGTGAAACATCTAACACCATTTAAAAATATGGAAGATATTTCAAATTCTATTCATAAAACATAATAAACCGCATTTCAGCTAAATTCAAGGCCAACTTAACTAAGTAAAAAGTAATTAAATTACATTACATACAATATGCAATGTAGTATTTCAGTCATGTGCTATTAATAAATAAATTTCTGGAAGTACCAATTCATAAACTTGTAAGGCTTGTATTGGTACACTTCTTAATTTGTGAAAAATACTATATACACCAATTAATTTTAAGTTGTAAAATCAAAATAACAGTGGTTAGAATTTTTTTTCTCAAAGAACATTAAAGGAAATCACGGGTGAGACTATCTAAATAAAATAAAATAATGAATACAGATATAATTGAATGTGTGGAGTATTCTAATGTTCATACATTGTTTTAACTAGCTTTATGCATACTAAAGCCCCTACAATAGCAAACTGTGAAGCAATAGTCAAAATTGGAGTGACCAAAATATCCTTGGCAATTATTTGCAACATTGGGTACTTGATTCTTTTTGTTTTCTTCCATCCTAGTATATTAAGGTAGCGCTCCTAGACAAGACTTTCTTTTTAAGTAGTGATCAAACTCACTTTTATTACATGTCACTGAATCAATGACAAAATAGTCTTTACATATAAATATTTGCTAAAAAATCATCCGATCCCTTTTCATTGAACTTTCCCCTTGCCCCATAGTGATAGATAGATTATCTTCAAAAGTATTTGTGTTATAATTTCTTCACACTGTTCATTTGTTTGAAAGATGGACTTTTGCAATGCTTGAGGAAGATGTTGTCTAACAACTTCAATTTGTATCTTGATTCTGAATCCAGAACAATGGCAATCCCTTCCATGATCAATATTTTCCCCATTTTGTGATCATTTTTGAAACCATATCTCTAATAGCTTAAGCTGATCAATTTTGCCATTGGTGCAAACATTGATTTATTTATTTTTAAAATGACTGTCAAATTATTATATATGATTCAGTGCTTTTCTACATTATATTTGATTGAAAATTAATTATTTAAATTTTTCCTGGAAGTGAACTTAGCTATATTATACTTCTATCTGCAGTTTTTGGATAAACAGCAGGAAGATGTAGATGATGATCTGGATTACAGAGCACTTGAAAGTGGATACGTAAGTTGGCTAACAAAATTATCTTTAAGCATGTTTTCTAATGTGAAATGTATCATTAATTTTTTCAGATAATAATATTTTATGTTCTTAAGGAAAGTATGCAAACAATAAACGTCTTCATTGGGCTGTTGTTAACCTGTTATATATGCAATCAAGTTCATTTATCTCTGAATGAACCTTTCATCTGATTTTAATGGACAGGTTGCAGTTACTCCTCTATCTCTGTCTCCTCATATTGAGACGGATATTCAAAAGGCAGCACGTGATTGGATTTCATCTGTGCTTCCTTGTGAACAATAGCCTCAGTCAGAGTTCAGCTTCAGCGTGATTATGTACATTTGAGATTTATAATGGTTCTTTCTTTTGTAAAGGTGGAGCAGAAGCGGCAGTCTCACCTATTCTATAATTGATATCAATCTGTACTTTTTGTGTAAGATATTTTGCATTCCCTCTCATTGTTTCATTTCTTCTGGTCGCTAGTTATTTCTGATGTGAAGCAAATTCTTATTTGCTTCCTGTAATCTCCTAGGCATATTTTTAAAATGCCATTTCCTCTGTTTGTAACTTTAAAACTACTAGCAAAACGCTGGTTTCTCATTGTAAGGTTTTGTTAACTTGTTTGAAAGATAGTTTTAAGCTTGGTTTGATGATATTTTAGACCCTGGTCTGATATGAAGCAGCCGTGTATGGATTTCAACCTCAAAATATATATTTTGTTAAATGAAATACGTTAAAGTATTCCTGACTATTAGATTTGTAATTGCATCAATTGCGGTCAAAACTCATGTGATTGGATTTTGCATTCTAAAATTAGATTGCATCACTTCCTGAGCATTAGTCATAGTTCGATTCTCTTTACAAGTGATAATATAATTGGGTACCTCTATTTGTTTTAAGGTTAAATATGATGTGAAAATTGATTTCGGTCCGTAATTTGTAAGTTAATAAATTGGTCTTTAAACTTAAAAATATATAAATTGTTTTTTTATATAATTTTATAATAGTAAAAAACATTATTAAACATTATATTTAAGTATAAAAATGTATATTTAATCTTTTTACTTTATCAATTTTGATGAGATGAAAAATCATAAATAAATAGTATATTTTAATATAAAAATAGTTAAAAATATAAGATAAATGTGTGGAAAAGTAAAAAAAAATCCTTTATTTTTATGATTGGATTTGTTAACTTAGAAATCAGACAATTACAAAATATATAAACGATATAAAAAAACAAATTTAATAACCAAATTTATTAATATAATAATAATAAAAAAAATATCTACATTTTTACTCTTTTTTCACAACAAATTATCTAAAAATGTTTATTCAAAATGGGTCCTAAACGATAATTTTCAAATATATTATACACTAAGCTTGGTTAAGTTTAATTTTGAATAACATCCAAATTATTTTTGAGTTATTTTATCAATTTAAAATATTTGTTTTGATGTTAAAAATACATTTATAATAAAAATGATAAAAGCAGTTCTTATAATAAAATCAGTCATCAAAATATTACAAGGAACTATAAAATTATATAAAAAAATTATACATTAAAAAGAGTTATCATATTACCAAACCACGGTCAAAATATATTTATTCTCATGGGTGATTTGAAAGAGTCGAAAAAATAAAATAAAAAAATTTAATCTAAATTATATCAAACTTATTTATTTACATAACGAACTATACTAATTCCATTTTATAAAATAATTATTATTTTTAAATAAAAATAATATTATTTTATTAATATATATATATATATATATATATAAATATATTATATAAATTAATTTAATAAAGAATTCATTTATTTTAAGAGTAAATATTAGAATAAATATTTAATAATCGCTTATTTCAATATTTAATAATTAATATTAATTACCGTTTTAAATTAATAAATTATTAAAAAATAAATAAAATTAAGTTTTTAATATTTCTAAAACCAACTATTTTATATATTTTATCTGATTGCGGGGTTATTGATGAGTATTTTACTGTAGGTTTTTATTATTGAAACATAAACTATATTGAATAAATGTATTTTTTTATAATTTATATATTAAATTATTATATTTTAAATAAAAAATAATTTCATTAATAAAAATTAAAATAAAAAAAATATTTTTTTATTTTTTATTTTTTATTTTTATTTAAATATTTTTTTAATTAATTGATTTGATATAAACATGTTAATATTTTTTTTAAATTCAATAAAATCAAAATTGACCAGTTAGTTCATTAACTCATTAGCATAATGTAAGAGCAGATTAAACTATAAATTTAGGTCAATTTTAAAATATAAATTAAGTTGAATCATCAAATTTTTTTACATATCATAAGAACATAACATGTGATAGCACTGACAATTCTACTAGGAATGACAAAACGGGTAGACCGAACCTGCCAATCCACTATAAATATAATAAGGTAAGTTAGTACTTTCGATCAGTCAATCCTGATTGACCCTGTCAAGTTTGTCAGCTTGCTGGTTCAACCCACGACCTACTTTACTAATAATTTTTTTATTGTATTACATGAAGTGAGAAAAATAATATATAATATAAAAATGTGTGAAAAGAGGATTCTAAAAATTTTAATATTTCATTAAGAAAATTCAAGAAATACAAATGTCTCACTAAAAAAATTTATTATTATATAAATATATATTGAAATATATTTATATATTGAATTATTTTAAAAATTAATTTTTTATTAAATTTATTGAAAAATTTAATTTAAAAAATATATATGACAAGTGAATCGATACTTTGACGAAACCGATTAAAATTTGTAACCCATTATCACTATAATGGCCCAACCCGCTCGTCGTGTTTTTAATGTTCCAAAGACAGATGGGTCTACCAACCAAAATAACGTTCCGGGTCCGGCAAAACAAACCCGAATTTGAAAAGTGGCAAAGCTCCGATCCATCCAGATCAGGTTTGGAGTGGGTGCATTGCTTAGGTTAGGGTTTAGGAAGCAAAGCTTTGTGAGAAACCAACAATGGCGTCGAATAGCGTTCTCAGAAGTGGAGCTTCCTTGTTGAATCGCCTTTCCAAATCGCTTCTTCTTCATTCCAACCCTCAACCTCAATCTCACATATTCTCCCCTTCTCTCTCTAGGCTCCCCGCTGCAATTTCCCCCCAAAACGACGTTGAATTTCCCCACAAACAAGGTTTTCTCTACCCATGTGGCCTTCCCTCTTTCCGCTTCTTCTTACCTCACGGTACACTTACTCTTCTTCTACCCTGCATTGTTGTTCATTTTTAAGGGAATTTATTTACTTTCCACCATTTTTCTTGCAATTGATCTCTCTTTAATATAACTGTAAGTAATTATGCTAATATAAGATGTAGACTGAAGAAAAAAAAAGTACCAGATTTTACATGAGAATATGGTGTTTTATGAAATTTTAAATATTTCAACTCCTCCAGATACTTTTTATTCAGAATTTATCATTATTTTGCAGGGGACGCTCCTTCATCTGATGATCCGATGCTTTTATTCCCCAAAAGGACGTTTCAACCTAGTCTTATTAAACGAAAGAGAAACCATGGATTCTTTGCTCGGTAAATCTCTCATCTTTTTTGGTTATATGGTCCTTCATTATAAGAAAAGAAGTAGGAAATATCACTACTTAGTACTTAACCCTTCCTCTTCTTCATGTCAAACTTGGTAGATTTTAAAACTATTGTGGTGTCACCATTCTTTAGCTTATTCAATGAGACTATAACTATGCAAAGACCTAAACTGTGCAGAGATTAGACGATCGATTACTCTTATGCATCGTACACTTTCATTGTACCTTCTGTTACTTTCACTTTGGTTAGTGGGCTTTTTGGCATAATATATAGTAAGGAAATGGTAAAAAATATTCATAATCTTTATCAGTTAATAAAACAAAACCTAAATAGATTGATTTGTTGCATGTGCCAATATACAATTGAGTGACAATGCATTAAATAAGCAGATTGTCTATATCTCCAGACTGCGGTTGCTTTGTTTCTGATGGATAAATGGGTGTCACATTTTAGACTATAACTAGGCAAAGTGGCATATGAAATGCTTCCTTGTTGACCCAAGGACCATGGCTTCTTTTTCTTGTATATAGGAGAGAATCAAGTTACTCAAGTGCTATTCCATTCAATAATTTGTTCTATATGTTAAATTTCAATAGTTCAGCAGTTGAATTACATTTTTTTTAATAGATTAAGTCTGATTTTTAAAAAAATTTATACTATTTGATACTTCTTTGAATAAATTCAATTTAACAGATACTAATACATTTGTTAAAAATATTAATAAATGTTGACTATGTGATTAGTTAGCTACTGATGTTTGATTTATCTAAAATTAGTGTCTATGATTGTTGAAATAATATCAAAATATTCAACAGTTAGACTACAACAACAATATGAATCCCGTTGAGGACATTCGGCTATGTTAAAGGCAACATTTAACAGTTTGAATATTGAAATTTAATATTTAATATATAGAAATTGTCATTCAATGGAGTAACTTCACCAAAAGTTACTTTTGGAATAACATGATCCATATGTATGTAGAGATATGTTAAATTGGTGCAACCGCCAACTATTTCACCATGAATTAACCTCTAATTGAGTAATTTTATATCAAAACTCACTATCAAGTTAAAAGTTTCTTACTCATAGATCATATATGCCTACTTTTATATTACTCTAAGATTATTGGATACCTCATTTACATACATTAAAATTGATGGTAATATGTTCTTTTGAATATACAAAAACATGAAAAATTTCATAATTTTCTTTTTTTAGTTCAATTTTCACAAAATTTGACACAAATAATCAAAGTAATGTATGATTATAATTCGAACATTGGATAGATAAAAATCAGTCTTTATGAAGTTATTGAAGATATATATGAAGTTTGTTTAAGATATACCCCATACAATTAGATCTCTATCCATATGAAGTAAATTTGTCACGGTTTTTTTTTTCGATCCAGTATGAAGTTGTCTGTCTAAATATACAGAACTGGTGAAATTTATACATGTCTAAATAGATGAAATATTTTTTTATGACATGAGCAGGAAAGCAACCAATGGTGGCAGAAGAGTAATTGCTCGAAGAATAGCCAAAGGCCGGTTTAGGATTACAGCTTAGTATTATTGCATTGACATTGGAGTTAAGGTTGAATCTAGAAACATAGTGCACTTCTTGGTAAGGCCCAACACGGGATGAACTTTACATTGTTACCTAAACGGAGCTCCTCTTTTTGGATGGGGTGTGGGATTTGAAGTTTTTTGAAGTACAGTCTGCAATGAACAATATTTCAGGCAACTATTGTGTATGGATATGTTAACATTTTGTTTATTTCTATTTAAATTCACGTCAGTAGCTGGAATAATTTGTAACTCTGCTATTAGTTTATGGGTTGACCACTGCAGAATAATCTAGCTTTACTTGGTGTAAAGAAGCTTGTTGCTTTGCTTTGTGCTTGTTATGAGTTTCAATGTCAATTCATGGGCCTACGAGGGTCGTTTGGATAAAATTAAGATTGATGTAGCAAAAGAAGTGGATCTTTGATTTGCACAAATTTTGAGGCACTTTTTGTAGAAGGAATTTTTGGTTCAAATGGCCAGCAGGTAGCTTTGATAATGATATGAACTATCAACCCCCGTCGTTCCCCACCGTTGCACTATGGATGTCTTTTGGTAATTAGTTAAAGTTTTAGTTAAATTGTTAGTCCCATAATATTGGGTGTTTCAGTCCTTATTCTTGTTTTTGGGTTTTTGTCTTTATTATAGCAATTCAGTAATGGTATGGATAGTGTCATGTCAATATATTAAGTTGTCAGAGTCTAAAATAAAAAAAATAATATATGTAGATGAATGAAAATAAAAATATATGTTATTTGGAGAAGATATATATTAGTAAAATCGTTGACGACTACTTTATCTTTTCATGGTGGGTAACATGTCTCTTCTGCATAAAGTAGGAGAAAGTAATATACTTAAGGTTATATACCTCTTAAAGTGTGAAAAGTTTCAAATTTTGGTACATCTTGTTTAATTGTATAAATTTTGGTTACAATGGAAAAATAGTTATAATAATACTAAGTGAACAATCAACAAATGTCTGAATAAACCAGAAATAGTTTTTATTAATTGACGTGGTTGTGAAGAAAAGGTGCAGAAATGAAATGAATGTGGCCCATAACAAAACGTTCTTCTGCAAACTGATTGGATGCCCCTCCACAGGCCCAGAAAGAAAGGGCAACCCACCCATGACTTTAAGGTACCACTGCCTCTGTCTGTACGACGACTTTGCCCTAATTTCAATCTGGTTTGCTTCATTGCACACGTCAATGATTGAAACATAATAATTATCATCCCACATAATAGAAACCAATAGAAACCAATCCAAAAGGAAGAAATGCTTTTTGCCTTCTCAGAACATTTCTTTCCAATCCAAAAGGATGACTATGTGTTACTTTTATATTCATGTCATCATATTCAACAGTGTCATATTTCTTTTGGATTATTTATTATATGTGATTTTAAATATATAAACATTTTAATATTTAATAGTCTAAAATATTGTTTTAATATTTAGTGATTCATGTAAGTTAAGCAAATAAATGTGTTATTTATTTTAGACTAGTTTGGTAAAGAACACTTATCATTCAAAATCAAAGGTTAAAGAGTGTGTCAATCTTATAACATTTATAACTTTCGTTTTAACTAAAATTTACAAGTTTCGCTTTAACAATTTACAATGCCAAGGTAGAATATTTGAACTATTATTTTTCTTTTAAAATTGATGTTCTCAAAATATGATTGTTAAAATAAAAAAAATAAATAAAAGAATCTTAAGATTGAAGATCTTATGACTTCTTAATTTTAAAATCATAGTTTATTGTAAGATATGATTCTTAAAATTTAAAAACCCTCGTGAAAGAGATAATACCCTTGTATAGATCTAGTTATTTTTATAAGTTGGTTGCTATAAATAGTGGTGTAACTTTGTCAGAACTTTGTTAAAGTATAGAAAACAGACAAACAGAAGGTGGCTAATTCACACAGTATCATCATACCAATCTTTTTAACGAAGAAGGGGTAAGACTTTTTTTTTTTATCATTGAAGACGTGATTAATTCAGATATTGATAGATAAATAAATACAAATAATCAAAATTAAAACAGTGAATGAGTATAAAAAAAGTTTTTGTTGATGTATGTTATTTAATAGAAAATACAATTTTAAAGGCGTTTTTATTCCCTTTTGTATAAATAAGGTTCTTTTTAATATTAGTTATTTGTTGTCTGACTTTTATAAAAAGAAAAAAATTGAAAAGGGAAGAATAGGATATCTTATTTATTTTATTTAATTATTTAAATAAAAGAATATTGTACTCTCATTATAAATATTTTTTTGATTTATATGAAGATTATTGATTTTAAGATTATTTTTATTTTTATTTTATATAATTATTAAACTAAGTAATGGTTTAATTGGTCTTTATATAGTCACAATTATAGTCAACTAAATATATTATGTCAATTAATCTTTTATATATATATAATTTTCTTACATGTGGTTATAAATAATTAATTATCACACTTTTTAACATAATCACATATATTAATAAAAATTATTAATTTAATTATATTTTTAAAAGTATTATTAATATACTAAATTAATATTTATTATTATAATAATTTCCAAAATTCTCCTCAATCTTCATTTTGGTAATATTTAACAAATATAAGTTGTTAAAACAATTAATAATTAACACACAAAAAACGGGACAAGATTAGTTAATTCATTATAGTTATAGTTAAGAAGAGTCACAACGACTAACCACTCCAATAAATGACAGATTCACGGTTATATATATATATATATATATATATATATATATATATATATATATATATATATATATATATATATATATATATATTGTAATATATATTTTTTTAAATATATTTTTAATTATATGAATAATTTTAAGTTTTTATTTATTAATTAATATTTTTATTAGATAAATTAAAAAAATTATAATATTTCAGTGTTAAAATATCTAATTATAAATAATGATTTAAATTTAATTAATTAATATTTATAATTAAAATTATAATATAATTATATATTTCAACAATAATAAAAAAATATTTTAAATATAAATTTTATTTTAATTTTAATATATAAATATTTATTCTAAAGTGGATAAATAAATCAATCCGTCTTATCCTTTATCTTTTAAATTAACGGAGATGTCAGAATAGGTTAAGAAATTAGAATTATTAACCTAACTCTCTAATTTTGAAGCCGAGCTTGTTTTGTCATCTACGTATAAATTCTTGCAAGAAGAAAGCAGTTACAGAACATGATTGATAAAAAAGCTGATAGATATAAATTTCCTGATAGACTTTTTCAATTACGTTTTGTAATCAGTTAAAATCTTTTGAAATAGAATTGTGAGTTAGGTTTATTCGATAAAAAGTAAGTATTACACAATTGCATGATTTTTTTTTAAGAATTTTCTTTAAAATAAAAATGTTCTTGAAAAAGCGTGAAAGAAATCTAATATTTCCAAAATTAGAAAGGCATGAATGCAAATATGAACGAAGAAGGAGCTTCTTTACTCTAAACTCCACCACCTCCAAAATTAATACCTGCATTGAGTTCTTGATAAGAACTTTAAGCTAGCTTTAATATTATTTATTAATTTAAAAGCTTAATAAAAAAATATATTATTTTTATTTTTTAAGGATAATAATCGCAATATGAAATTAATGAGCGTACTGTTATGGATAAGTGTTTAGAGAAAGTACAAAACCTAAAGTTTTTTTTTCTGCCGGAAAATTTGATGCATTTGTTTTCTTCTATTTATCCATCGTGAGATGAAGGAAATTTTTTGCGTTGTTCGATATCTGTCAAAGTTCAACCAATTTCGAAGCAAGTTCTGGTTTTCCCTGCGGAAAAGAAAAACGAGTTTACGTCAACAAAGCTTAGAATTTGGATTCTTGCGTTTTTCAATTTCACTGCAAGAAAAATTGGTATTTGACAGGTTAATTTGTAGGGTTTAGGAAAGTACAAAATATATACACTGGAAGATAAGATGCCAAAACATAGATTCACTTTCATTGCATTTAAGTCTTATTAAGCGCGTAGTTTTACCGATCAACCTCAAGGAATCTTAATTAATTGACAAAAAAGCTTGTGTTTGATTGATTTATAAGATAGTTAAAAGTTGGTGCATGCTTTAAAAAGTTGCGATAACCCTATAAACCAGTAGGAGCATATGCTGGAGTCCTACATACATAGGACAGTTTGTCCTGGAACGAGTTGACCATGATGTGTACGTCTTCTTTTGTCTTTGTTCGACATCGTCATCCATTAATTAATGTTACACGCAGAAAGAGATAGAGTGAGAAGAAGCAATGGAACAATTAATGAGATAAAGTACAGAACTAGCTAGGCACATGATTGGTGAACAAAACATACATACAAAGCTCTATATATTACATTTTTTGATAAGGCATTGTATGTAGCTCTTGCTGCTTCAATAATTCACATATATAGAAGTATTAGGTGACAAATATGTGAAAGAAGCTAGACACATTTATGGAAGTTCTGCAAGCATTGCTCAATGGAAGGGCCCCTGAACTAGCAAGGTTCAGGTTTACCATTGAGAGAGGATCTGCACTTTTGAGCAAAAGTTCAAGAAATAATTAATGCATGGAAATAATTGAGTTCAGTGATCATTAAAGAGTTTCCCCTCATTCTTCAATTAAATATACTATAAATAGATAAAATTAAATTTATATCTATAAATAGTACCAACTTTCAAGGCTCCCATCCTGAAGGAATAATAGGGTTTGGGACATTTTGGGTGCTTGATACTGATGATGAAGTTGTTGAAGATGGCAACAATGACATGAAGGCATCAATGTACTCTAATTGATTGACTGCCACAGTTAGATCTTGTGGATAACACTGAAATTTTGCTGTAGGCTCATGTTGTTCCTGAGGAGCAGATGAGAATGGGATGCTACAAACATAATCCTCAATGTTCTCACTGACTTTTGGCACAAGGGGTTCTACCAAGTGACATTCATATTGCTGCAATGCAGTTGGGTTGATGAATTTGTCAAGAGCATAGTGTGAGGTAGTGTCACTTTTGGTGATTTGATTTTCTTGATTTGGATTGAGATGTAGAGCTACACAACCCAATGGCCATGTGTCTTCATAATATGATGGATTGGAAGATGCTAATGCTGTTTCTGGTGCTGGATTCTGAATATGAAGGAAATTGGCATTGTAACTCTGGATGCCTAACTTAACATCATTATTATGATCAAAATCTTGTAGGATTGGTGATGGTGTAGTGGGAAGGTAGAGCTGGTCTGTGTGATGATGGTGAAGGTTTAAGATCACATTAGGGTTTGCAGTAAAAGGGAACAAACTTTCCATGGAGCCAATATTGATGGGGCTGTGAAAATCAGAAAATGTGGCCAAAGGAGGAATAACATCATGAGAAAGGAGTTTCTTCTTTATGCTTGAATTCCAAAAGTTTTTCACCTCATTATCTGTTCTTCCAGGTAGGTGCTTGGCTATCTGAGCCCACCTGTACCCAAAAAGTTCACTCTCGTTGAGAAAAAGTAGATAAAGCAACCTTTTGACAATAATGTTGATGAGATGATGAACATGAATAGAACAAAAAAGAAAAGCAGCAGAAAGAAAAAAAAAAAAGGAGCATGTGGCTAGCAATGGTTATACCTGTTCCCTAAAATGCTATGAAGTTCAATAATGAGGGCTGCTTCTTGAGGAGAGAAGCTTCCACGTTTCAAATCAGGTCTTAGATAATTTATCCATCTTAATCTGCAACTCTTTCCACACCTTTGCAGGCCTAGCGCATCATCAAACAAACACAGTCTTATAATTAACAAGAAGCTCAAAAAATTTCAAGACCTTCATAATAAAAGAGCTGAAAAAAAATACTATCAGTAGTGGAAGACTCGTTAATTAATTATATCATACACACCTGCAAGTTTTGGAACAGAACTCCAGCAACCATGTCCATAATTTGTGATGTAGTTGATGAGTTTTTCATCTTCTTCAGGTGACCAAAGCCCTCTTTTGACCTTCTGCTTGTTGCAGCAAGAGTGGTGTCCCATGTCTTCAACTCTTTCGTTTTCTCTCCCTATGTATCTCGATTTGAAGCCTCAAAGTACTAATACATATCAAAGGAGAACAACACCAGTTCTTGTGAAAAGAAATGACGAGGTTGAGGAGAAAGGAAGGTGTCTAGAGTTTATGTTTTAGCCAAAACTTACAAGGTGGTTGCATTGAACCATAATAATGAAAAGAGTGGTGGTGCATGTGAATTGAGTTAACAGAGAAAATGGATGATATGATGCAGAAGCAGAAGTGCATGTACACTACTGAGGGTGAAGAAATTAATGAGGTGGCCCAGTTAAGGATTGTGCAGAAGAGCTAAAAGCTGCAATGTCACCCTGCAAGACTTGTATGCCTTATAAAGGATTCTTCATTGCTCAATAGGTTAAAGCCATGAACACGTGTAACGCATGCAGGTGGTAGGACCCTTTGTGTTGCAGGTCCCTCCATGGATACATACATACACACATTAAGTTATACGGTTTAAACCTAAGTAAACCATTTCCAATTATTTGTCGTTTTTCTTTTAAAAATCAAAACTTTATTATTTTAAGTACCCTCTATCACATTAATATTTTAAATATTTTGTAAGTTTTTTTTAATACTAAAGTTTTTAAATTTTCTACTTTTTTTATTTACATTCACTATTTTATAACTTACAAAATTTATTTAATTGGTATAATTAAATTTCAATTTATTGTAATTATAGTTATATGAAAAAAAGAATATTTAGATAAAAAAAATACTACTTCCTTTCTTGTAAAAAATCACATTATTTTATTCTTTGATATTAATAAACTTTAACTATTTTTACTCTTTATTTAATAATATTTTTAAAAATCCTTACTTTAATCAATGTCTATTTTTTTTTTACATAATTATATTTGTTTTTCTCAAAGGAGTGCTCTAAACATATATTATTCATATTAAGAAACTCTATCAAAAGTAACCAATTATCTTCTCTAACAAAAATTAACCTTTAATTAATATGATAAAATAAAGAGAATAATTATGATAATATATATATATATATATATATATATATATATATTAAAAAATGATGAGGTGATGATTAGAAGAAGGAATAATATATGTTACTTTAATTGAAAACTTTGCATGCATGTACGTATTAAAGGTGTCACGTGAAAATCATTGGTGATTAAAGGTGGAGTTAAGTGGAAGCATATAGAGTGGTCAAGCCCTAATAAATTTCCTAATTATTTTATCTTTATTACAACAAAAAGTGTGTGTGTGTTTAGGGTTCTTTTTTCACAGTAACTTCATCTATAAAAGTCTGTTTTTCTCTGTAAAAGAAAAAGTCTATCATTCAACACTTTTGTTGACTAATTCTATCACTCAATATGTAAAATATGAAAGTGAACTTATTCATTTCTTTTTTCTATTTAATGTGTATTCATAACTTGTATCTACTTTTTTTTATTATTATTTTAATATGCTTAATTTCAGTTTAAGTAGTTGAGAATAAAGAAATATGATTATTTATTATTATTGATATATAATTAATTATTATATGATTAAAAAGAGCATGAGAATGGTTAATCATAGTTACTAATAATAAAAATAAATATTTTATTATAAATCTCATACATATTATTATTTAAAAGTAGAGAAAATTATTTATATAAATAATTTTAATCATATTTTAAACAATTTATTTAAAAGATTCATAATAAAATATTAATTTTATTTTAAACAACTTTTATTAAAAACTATTTCATAGTGCTAAAAATATTGGAAGGTTATATATATGGATAGTTAGTTCATCATTACGAAAAAAATAAAAATATAAAAGAATATAAAACATTTTTATATTTAATAATTTATTTTAATATTTATAAAAAATAAAAGTAAAATTATAAATATTTAAATAGATATATTTAATAATCATTAAATTAAATTTAAATAATAAATCAAATGAAAAAAAACTCCCATAAATCTCAACTGTTTGCAATGATGTTTTAATTGATAATAAGATGTGTCATTATAACACACCTACTCTACACAATTATTGTTATTAGAAGGATATTTTTGTTTTTTTTTTATAGAATAATTTATTATTTTCTTTGTAATGACTAATTACATTCAAAATTATATGTAATTATGTTTATCTGTAACTGTTTGATATATAGTATTGAAATATTTATACTGAAATTTCATTTAAATAATTAAACGAGATTACAAAAATAATTTCTTTAGTTTTATACTTTTAAGATATATATATATATATATATATATATATATATATATATATATATATAATAGACAATAAATGAAAATAATAATAATTATGAAAGGCAATAGAAAATATAAGTCTTATGGCAATCATAATATTCCCGAAGATTTCTTTTTTGGTTGTTGAATATTTTAGGGTTTGTCAACTGAAAAATTAACATTTCAATGATAAAATAGAAACATTGAAAGCCTGTAATGTCACTCAACTCAAAATAGTTGCATATATTCATGGTGATTCGAAAAACTTGTTCTTAGGTTCACATCACCCTTAACTTTTGATTTGTTAATAACTTAAAAGCCATATTTTAAAATCAAATAACTACCGTTGTTCAAAAACTGATAAACCTATTTATAAAAATAAAAAATAGAGTAATATATAATTACCTAAAATATCTTTAAATTTAGGATTAAAATTAAACTCATATTCTCTATTAAGGTTGTTAAATCGGATAATTCAGTCTTACCTGATTTGGTTCTATCGAATAAGTAAAAAAAATTAATAATCTAGTTTAATCTATATTTTAAAATAAGCTAAAACTTTTTAGTCTAGTCTTGTCTTATATTAGACTAACATGCTAATTGACCATTTTTTACCTAATTAAAAATAAATTTTTTATTTATATAATTTTTTTAATTTTATTTAAAAAAATATATTACCCATTTGTTTATTTAAAATTAACTCAACTTATTTCAACAAAATAAAATATATAAAATTATAAAAATGATCTATTACAATAATGTAAGTACTGAGGAATTATAGTTATTCATACACATAAGAAGTCAGGTATATCTTATCATTCAAACATATTCTACCATTTTCTTTTTAGTTAAATACTTATTATAAATATCTGTAATTTAAGTGTTTCTATTAGTTTAAAATCAGGATTCAAAACTTACATACCTCCCAAACTCCATCATACTAAACATATAAATTGAATATCATGTTTAATAATGTATATAACGAGTTCATTTCGATAAATTTTAGAGTCAAATTTTTATTACTTCAACAAACTAACCTTATTATATAACATAACTCCCACATCATAATAATTTGAAAATACACTATATTTAAAAATATATCGTCTTAAATTATTGGTGCTTAGTAGCAAATGTCAACCGAGTAACAAAGATGAAGAAGATAACAAAAACAAATAAAGATTATGTTTAGAGTTTATTATTCTTTCTAAATTACACACACACACACACACACATATATATATATATATATATATATATATATATATATATATATATAACAAAATATATTATCAAATTAATTTATTATACATATATTTTATAATTAACTTACGAAATAGCCTGACTTAAGCCCATTTATACCTAGCTTAAATAGATCAGGTCAAAATTTGTCTGGTTTTATCTAGGCCATAAATTTTTAACCTAATCCTATTTTTCAGGCCTTTTGAATTGACCCATCATAGCAAGTCTATTTTAACCTCATTATTCTCTATATTTGATTTATATTTCATATAGAAGTGTATAATTCATAATCCAAATATTGTTAAATAATTAAATACGTGAAATTAACAATCCAACAGAATAAATATTATCGAGATAAATGCAATCCTTAAAAGTATGAAAAATGATGATCATTTTTTAGTTTGATTAATTTATGTAAAATGAAAAAAAAGTTGTTAACAAACCTTACTTAAGAATAAAAATAAAATTTTTATTATGAATTTTACATTTAAATTACTTAAAATTAGATGAATATGATTTATACTAAATTTTAAATAATTCATATATAAGACGCGTAATAAAATATTTATGTTTATTTTCAAATACACTTACTAACAACTACTTTTGGAGATGTAAGGATAATCTTTATAAATTTGTATTAATTGATTCATATAATCATTATATTTCATGTTTTTCTTTATGTTATTGTTAGTAAAAAATCGATGCGAGGATCGAAAAAACGAAGAGAGAAAAGTCGATCATATGGTTGTCCAAAAGGTTGATAAATCGGAAAGATGATTGAAAGACACCCGGTGATCACGAGATAGTATGAATAATCGAGAATGAAAATCGAGAATCAGAAAAGAGAGAAACAAATCGATGAAAGTAGTGATAAAGTATAGTGCAAAGTCAAGCTTAAGGGCAAATCGTACTCGATAACTGGAAGCAAGATCGAGGGAATGATTATCATACATATGAACACATGAGGAATGACTTTTCACATCGCGACTAAGGTTAGAAATCGAGAAACGGTTATACTACACGTGGAACGTGGAAGCGGTTTTTTGAACCGTAAACTAAGGTCAAAATCGAGGATCGTGCACATGGAATGTGGTGACAGTTTTCTAAACTGCTCCTAAGAGGTTATATTGAAGGATGCCTATAAATAGAACGAAGCTGGAGGAAGAAGGGGAAATTGGCAGAGACAACAGAAGCGCAAGTGAACAGTCTACAGGAGAACGACGCATCATGAAGTTTCTAATGCTCTGGATTTCCATTTTCATAGATTGTCTTTATCGCTTTCTTTACTTTCCCTGGTAATTTACTTTCATGCAATTTACATTTATCAACTTTAAATTTTTGTCATTTCAATTCCTCGTTCATTTACTTTTATGCAAATTAATGTTATACGTTTAAGTTCCTCGCCATTTACATTTCTGCAATTTCGATTTCCTGCTACTTACATTTCTGCAATTTTCGATTCCTTGTCATTTACACTTGATGCAAATTTAAGGTTTCCGCATTTTATATTTCTCTGCAATTTAATATT